TCTATTATTTGTAGTTCCAAGACTCTTTTCAGGTAACTTAGGGAAAAGCTTAACAAAATGGATAGAAAACCAGAATTCAGCTCAGAGTCAAACCGTCAGAAATTCACCCCTGATTGAAGGCCTTCTCACCGTCTGATCCATTTCAAATTTGGATATCTTAAAGATGGAAGTATCAGCTTTCCAGCACACTTTACAGCTTGGCAATCCAACGGTTTAATCAAAAGATACGCGAAGAGCAAGATGTCCCGTAAACCAGCCGGCAAGCGTTTCCACCCGCGGCCAACAGACCAATCCCCGCGGTCAGAAGCACCGCGACCGCGGCCAGCCACCTATTTCCCGCGGTCACACTCATCCCGACCGCGGCCAGCCAACTCCGACTTTGAAGGCCCATTTCTGAAGCCCATATCATTTTCCCAGCCTCAATTCCGGAACCCTAGACACCAGAGAGTATTGGAGACTATAAAAAGATGTCATTTAGGTCGTTTTTTAAGGAAGAAGAAGAGAGACGAAATACTCTACAGAAATTTTACTTTAACCTTTGTTTTTAGGTTTTAGGGAGAGAGAGATTTGTCTCTTGAACCCTTGTTCTTTCTTTTTCAATTTCGGTTTCTATTCTACTTTTTAATACTATGTTTTTGATTTCGTTTATCATGTCTGAGTAGTTTTATTGTTGGGATTAAGGGATTTTCGATGGGGATTTATATGTTCGATGAGGATTCCATGAGCTTTTGAGCCGAATCTTAGAACTTTTTCTTCTGAATTCGTTTTTACTGCATGAGAGTAGCGTCATGAACTACAATCTGATCCAGATGCTTGGTGACACGAAAGTGTTCATCCGGTGTCAGATCTAGTTTGGGAGAGCAAAACAAACATAGGAGTGGAAACCTACCTATTGGCGATTTGTGAATGCTGATGAGTCTTAAACATAATGCATCTCTTCTTTTCCAGGGCCAGAGTGGAAACCTACTGGTCAGGGTTGAGAGAGATAGGTTTCTATGATCACGACAGTGGCGTATTCATACGTCTGTGACTCCAGTTCGAAAAGTTTAAGCTAAGATCTTATCAAATTTACTCTCTAGTAATGTTTTGAATCGTTCGTAACCCTGGGAAAACTTTCCTGAACCCCAGCGCTTTCTTTCTTATAGATTCACACCGTTTTATTTCAAGCTTTAGTTCAATATTCTCATTCCTTTTTAATCGATTTTCATTTAAGCAATTAGGTTAGCCGTTTTTCCCGTTTTTACCCGTTTTCGTTAAGTTTAGTTATTAGGTCATTTTAGTTCCCGTATTTTCTTTTTAAGATTCGTTTTTACATTTTAAACACACCACCAACACCCCCACAAAACCGTTTGGTTCTAGACTTCCTTACTTTATATTTCTTTCGAAGGCTTTTGCAGGAAAGATCTTCCTTCCCTGTGGATTCGATCCCTAAGTAGTACAATCGATCAGTTGTGCACTTGCGGCTATTGATTTCATTTAGGGTAAAACTTGACAACCCTCATGACACACCACATCAGTTGGTACGAGGTTTAGCCCAAAAAAATGCTTTCAAAAGGTGAGACTCGGCTTAGCAATGTCGTGGTAATGATGCCGAGGCTTGAGAGAACACTTATCACAACTCATTTGGGCTCCTATCGACCAACTTGTCTTCCGGAAACAATAAATTTCAGCACACGACTCCAAATGCTTTAAAACCAGTTCCATAGTCAAGATGACTCATTCAGCTCAAACTTTGGTGAAGAAACCATCGGAGCTTGGGAAGTGGAAGGCTCCCCGGATTGCTCATCTTTGCACCGCATTGGAATGACCGGAAAGTACAGCTTTCAGACTGATGTGTACTCCGGAGACGGTATCTTCCAAACCACCGCTCCGAATTGAGCGACTTCAGGTGTTCCGGAAATAGAATTCATAGAACTTGAATATTGATGAAGACCCTGTAAACTGGTTCGAATCGGAAGGGCTTCGTCCCACGTAATCTTTGAAGCTCAGCTGATCGGCTTTCGGGTGCATGCGAGACAGGCGTGTCTTCTGGAGGCGATATCTTTCTTCTCAATGGTCCGAATTGCGTGATTCCAACTGTTCTGGGATCTTGGCTTTGATTATCTACAACTTTGATGAAGACCCCGTCAACTGATTCGGACTGGAAGGTTCCCCGGATTAGTGATCTTTGAAGCACGCGGGTGAAAATAGGTTTTAGCCGAGAAATGCTTCCCGCGGTAAGGAAAATGTCAGAGGATCATGTACCGTGGTAAGCTTTTTAGCCGATAAAACTTCTCGCCTCGGCGTAAAACTTCATCCGATGAAATTTTCACCGATACTAATTTTTAGCCGATAACGACCACCCGATAGCGATTTTGGCCGATGTTTCGGTCCAGCCGGTACGAGTTTTCGCCGAGAAATTTCTCCAAGCGGTTTTCACCATTTTTGACCTTTTTCTTCACCGTTTTCATTCCTGATCCTCCTCTTGAGCTCCAAATAACCTCCAAAGCACCTGATAAAGACTTCAAAACATGCAAAAATCTTTGGGACCTAATGCAAGTCCTAAAACCTATTTTGATGCCTAAAGACTCAATATACATGAGAAAACACATGATATGGACTCTAAAGTGCAGCATAAATGATGCAAAATATAGACATATCACACGTTTTGCCGATCATCACTTTGATGAAAATCAATTCCCTGCATTGAGAGGGGGGGGGCGAATCTAGAGAATCACCAAAAGATAGCACAAACGTGTATATAAACTTTGGCTTATCTCGATCCTCCTACCAATATACGTGAGGTGGAGTTCATAAACTTTTTTTGCAAACTAGTTACTTGATGCGTTCAAAGATATAAGATGGATGACAAAATCATATATCCATGCTGCTAATGCTCCATCAAAAGAAATGCTCTAGAACAAATTATTGATGAGAATAGAGCAAATGAACCGCAGGTTCAATCAAAGCGCGGGAGACCGATGGGCTTGTAAGATAAAATCCCCTCTTAAATGAAAAGGTTCCAAAAGAACCATATAGAGAAAATGTCCTGAAGACATTTGTGAAAAGGTTCGAGAAGAACCGAATAAAGATGTTCTGAAGACATTTGTGAAAAGGTTCCTGAAGAACCAAATAAAAATATTTGTCTAGAAGACATATATTAATGGGTTCCATAAGAACCATATAAAGAGATTTGTCCAGAAGACGAGCGTGGCTGCACTCTTTTTCCTTTATCATAGTTTTTGTCTTAATAGGTTTTTCCATGACGAGGTTTTTAACGAGACAGCAAGGAACACACAAAATATAGATCTCTAAAGAGGAATACTTCCAGAAAGAGAAATATGATGATATACTTAGATGTACTCTTTTTCCCTTGCCATGGTTTTTATCCCACAGGGTTTTTTTATGATAAGGTTTTTAACGAGGCATCAAAGAATACGTAAAAGATAGACATCCAAATGACGTAGAAGTCCAAATTCATCTATCAAAGAAAGAGACTCAATCATTTAAGCGTTCGAAGGAAATGAGGAATATATATCTTTTCTAGGGGAAGCATTACTGCATTTTTTTTGTTATGTTTTTTTATCTCAAAAAGGGTTTTTCCATGATAAGAGTTTTTAGCAAGGCAGTACGTATATATGTTAGCAGTGATTGATAATCAAAGAGGAGTATTATAATATGTGGTGATTATTCATCTTCATCATCAAGTTGGTATTACCAACCCCCATCAATATCACTAAGTTGGTGTTACCAACTTCTTACCTTTTCTTTTCTAGTATAAATAGCTGTAAATGTTATAAAGTTCTTGAAATCAATAATAAGATGAGAGCAGCAGCAATGTTTTGCTCTTTCGTCTCTCTCCCTCTTGTGCTTTCTCATTCATATACTTTATATATTATATAATATATAAAAAGATAATATATGAAGATGCATATATACATATGTATATGCTCTTATTCATAACAAAAACTAGTTTTCTTGACATCAACTTAGCATGGGAGTGGTTTAGTCTTTGCATCATCACTTTATCTGATAAAGTGCTACTAATTTAAGAAATATTAAATGCTGTTAATATTAATTCAAGAAGTGTTATACAATGTAAATGACTCATTAATAAAACATATAGGAATGAGCTACGTACTAAGAGCATGATTAACACAGAGTTTCACAGGATCTCTTATAATTTTTAATTAATAAAAACCCGAAAACGCACAGACCAAATTTGAAAACGTTTCTTATTTGGGGACAGTTAAGAGACGTCTCACAATGACAGATGGCAGTATTTCATTTGTTGAAGCATTTGGAAAAAAAAAACTTTCTTCTCTAATTTGGGTTTTTCCCCATATAAAAAATCTTAAGATACCCTATGGGATTCACCCATAGGAGGTGCAACAATGTTAAGTCTCTTATTCATGTCTCTTATTTCAATTTAGTATTTAAATAATAGCTAAGAGACTCATAATGGGTTTTAGATTTAATTATGCTCCAATAAACCAAGACTAGTCATAAACGTCTCCTAAAAGTTACAAAGCCGCAAAGGCAATAGCAGTAAGCGTCACATGAGACCGCTGGTACCAATCGTACATTGCTACTTCTGGTCCATTTTGGCTTCGTAACATCATTGCCACAGAGGTATCAAATGGATAACTGATCTCGAGGCTGTAGTCCCAGGAACCCTTTCCCTTTCTTCCTCTATCCTCATAAAAGTATGTTTCAAGGTAGCTGTGTCTCCTTGCTTAAGGAGCATTCTTTGTTTGGATGCTTTCTGGTGTCTTTCCCTTGTTGATATGTTTCTTTTCTTTAATCCTGTACTTTAGATTTCTCCTTCCAACTAAGGAATGAAGCGTTAAAAAAAAACAAACGAAGACTAAAACTAAACCGGGTACCAAGTAAAAATCCAAACCTTAAACTAACAGTAGAAATCGATTTGGGGATAACTGAAATCTGTGTTCGCTCTCATTATTATTATTTTTTTAGCGAATGAGTTAGGCCAACATTTTGTGTGAGATCAAATTTCAAAATGACGAAAAAAGGTAATGAACAATAAAGTTTTAAAGAAAAAGAAGTCAAATACAAAGCCTTGTAATAATAATTTGCCCAAAATAACATAAAAATCTTAACAGACGAAATTTAGTCTCTAGCTAAGCAGACAATAACAAGATTACCGATTTGGGTATCTTTATCCAATTTTTTAATTATGTAATAATGACTTCTACTCAAGCCTTTTCCAACAAGAGCTCCTCAATGAGCTCAGCTGCTTGCTCAACCGTTGTGATAGCCTGTGCTTTCTCCTCCTGCATTTCAATCCCAAACGCTTCCTCAAGGCCCATCACAATCTCCACCTGAAACCCAACCACAAAAGCCATGAGTTTGTGCATATCAATCGAATAGGTGTATGAGGAACCCTTCATAGACTATCAATCTAATCATTATGGTGAGACAATATGTGCTCGAAAACATGAAACGATTAAGCATCAATAAGTCCACTGAACAGTTGAATCGAACGTATCCAAAAGCGGGTGGATGTTAGACATGAGAAGGTTGTGAACTACCGTGTCAAGAGAATCAGCACCAAGATCGACAAATTTGGTCCCAGCCGTAACTGTCTCGCCATCTTTAAGTGAGAGTTGGCTTTTGACAACTTCACACACCTTCTCCACTGTCTCAGGTTTTGCCTGTTTACCAACAAACAAAAAGTATGAAGCTGTCAGCAACCAAATTCTGTCAAGTCCGCGATAGAGCATAATTACATTGTTCCCATATGTCGAGTTGGCTGAAGAGTTCAAATTAGATTCGCAAAGCAATACCTCTAATATCATTCTCCCTCCATAATCACATTTTTTCGAATATGAGATGTAAAAGTACAATGAAAACATTATATGAGAGAAGAAAAATGCTTACAGCGCAAGAAACACTCAAACGAGTAGGAAGCGGGCGACGCGTAAAAGAAAGATTGCTTCTTCCAATGCTAAAACATTTAGCTGGATGGCTAACTGCAATTGCCTGCAATCGTATTTAAGAAAAACATTTCAATCAGTAGAAGTTAAACTTGAAAAGCAAAGCAAATCATTAACGAAAATAAGGTGTTGTAATATAAGATAACCAATATAGCAAACAACCATTTTGAGTTCTTGAATACGATAGAACTTAAATTAAATATAAGCAACTAAGTCTATCAAAGAACTAATCCTCTATGTTAACATTCGATCTGTCGAAAGTTAAAGCTCGAAGTGGAAGAGAATCATTTGCCCTACAAAAAACGAAAGAGGTTTTGTGTTTACATATAACCAAAACAGTGCACAATCTGCAAGAACTAGTTTCTCGATTGCTTGAATACAAGAGAACTTAAACAGAGCAACTAAGTCTATCTAAGAACTAATCCTCTTTTTCAACAATCCATCAGTATAAAAGTTAAAACTCGAAATCCAAAGCAATCACTTGCACTACAAACAAACGAAAGAGGTTTTGTGATTTACATATAACCAAAACAGCGAAAAATCTAATTTCTTGAATACAAAAGAACTTAAACATAAATCAACTATATAAGAACTAATCCTCTATGTTAACAATGTTTCCGCATGCATTACAAAAATGTTAGATTTATGCGAACAATCTACAAGGAGAAAGTAGGTTCTTGTTTTTTAAACACAGGAGAAATTAAACAGCAGCAACTAAGTGTATAATAGAATTTAAAACCGAAGCAACTAAATCAAAATAAGAACTTACAAAAAGGTAGAGAACTTAGGCAAATTCAGATATAAAAAAATATTGATAAATCATTCATCAGATCAACGATATTAAAAGTTTCTGCAGTTACGAGAAATCACAGAGCCATTTCAAACAGTAAGATCTGAACAAACGATTCTGTAATAAGATCTACCATTGAAGATGAGAAAAAAAAAAAGATCGAGATCAGCATCACAAAGAAAAAGGAAAGAAAACTAAGGAAACAATCAGATCTATAGCACGATGGGATAAAAAAACATTAAAAAATGGAAAAAAAAAGATTGGAGATTGCAGATTTTGTGGAGAAGGAGAGAAATAGAGAGAGACCATTTGGCGAGGACGAGTCTGAAGAGAAGTAGAGGCAGCAGCAATGGAAGCCATGAATCCTGAAGAGAGGGAGAGCGTGAAACAGAGAGAGGCGGAGAACACGAAGAGACCGAGAGAGTGAAGAAAGAAGTGAGAGAGTTTTTTTTTAATGAGAGTGTAGACAAGTCAGGTGGAAGTAGATGGTTGGCAGAGCGAAGTAAGAAAAACACAATAGTTTTCCCTTCTTTTTTTTTAATCGTAGTTTTCCTTTTTTTTGTTTTACAAATAATAAAAGAATTTAAAGAAATTGCATCTATATCTTAAAAGCACAATTCTCTATATCTTATAATAGACAACTGTTTGCGGCACGCGAATATAATTACTATACAAATTTTGCTACAATTTGATCATATCAAAATCTTTATTTGACATATTTTGTATTTTTTATCAGATTTAAAATTTTTTTTTTAACATATACATAACATTCTCTATTCTCAATAGTTGAAACTAAAATATTATATATCTATAGATCACAAAAATATATTGAATTATTTATTTTTTAAATTGATTCATATAGATATAGCTAATGTATTAACGTTATTTAATAATCGTCTACACTTATAAATAGATATATATAACATAATATAAGAAATATTATATTAAATGATAACCAAATGCAAAGAAAATAGAATAAAAGAAATATCAAATAAAAAAGATCAAAGATAACATAATATAGAAAATTTTGGCATGAAAAAAAAGAAATGTAGCTATAAAACGATATTATAAGGACACAACTCCATTAAATCTTATTCCATGCAATCTAAAGAGATTAAAACTAAAACTCCATCATAATCAAACGATCTTGTTCAGGGATCCTTTTTGTGCTTGTTCCAACTTGCGTATCCGTCATGTTAAACTTGTTTCGAATCCTGAAAGTTTAAAAGACACATACATATTTAAAGGTTATTGTATATATAAAATATTCTCAAATATTCTCAATATCATTGTCGGATTACTTACTTTCTCTTGAAAATCAGGACATCATCAGTATCAAAAGCAAAGAGGAGACGAGAAAACCAATCGCTTCGTGAGAATGGATAGTTATTTCATCTATAGACATAAAACGATCAGTAAGAACTATACATGCAAAAAAAACATTTATGAAATTAATGAAGATAATAATGGCATATGCTTGATAACCCATACCTTCATTTTTCTTTACGCTCCAGTCAGTTAAAACACAAACTGCAAGAGGACCAATGAATCATTTGCTTCTTTCTTTGATGCCAGCAGCAAATTCTCCGTGTGGGATACACTTCAGTTTCAAATCCCTTCGATATAAATAATAAAAGTTACAAAATTTATTACCAAGTCATAGTGATCATGAAAGAAAATATTGTTTACTCGAGATCTCTAATGGTGAAAGTTATTTTCTGAACAGTATCTCCAACAGGATTGTCCTCGGTTACGATGTCGCTAACATCTTCCATCATACCAACTAGATCTAAAAATCAATCATGATAAATTTCTTAGTTATTATATATAGATAAATATCATAAATGAAGTTCACATAAATGTTTTATATATATATATATACAATTATAAAAACGAATACTTTAAAAGGAATATTAAAAGATAATCTTACCAGCATGGTATAACTGAGCATAAGGAACTCTGTAGATCTCACTAAAAGGGACAAATTTCATGAAGGGATCCACTGTCAATGGTCGTAAAGATGATACTTTTGTCTCGGTAGTGCGAATGATCTGATAATAGTGTCTTGTGGTCTTTCCCTCGTTCTTCCACTCCGATGGTATCAACACTACAAGAAAACATGTGTATTTCCGACAAAAATTTCCGACAAAAAATATAGTCGGAATTTTTCCGACGAATTTCCAAGAAATTTCCGACAATCGTAGAAAATTCTCAGAATTTCCTCGGAAATTTTTGACGAAAAAAATTTTCTCGGAAATTTGTAAGAAAACTCCTCAGAATCTCCTTGGATTTTTTCGACAAAACATTTTCTCGGAAATTTGCCGGAATTCTCACAGAATATAGTCGACATTTTCCGATGGAAAGGTTTCTCAGATATTTGTCGCAAAACTTGTAGGAAAACTATCGTATATTTTAGCGACGAAAATACTTTCACGAAAATCTTCCAAAATTTTATTATTTGAAAAAATAGGTAATATAGAAAATTAATTTGTTAAGATCGTCGGAATTTTGTAGGAAACAGATAATTATATATTTATTTATTTTTGTCGAAAATTTGTCGAAAAAATTCTGGTGACCTTTCCGGTTGAGTTTATCAGAAAGTTCTCGGGATAGTTCTGACGATTTTCCAACAAAATATTATTAAAATTAATGTATCCGACAAGATTCCGACGATCTTAACAAAGTTCTCAGAATTTTCTCGGAAATAGACGATCACCTGTTCCGACGAAATTCCGACAATTTTCTGAATTTTGTAGGAAATTTCTCGGAAACTGCTAAATGCTTCCGACAAAAATTTGATAACATATTAAGTCAGATCACTTACGGTTTCCGAGAAAATTCCGACAACATCGTCGGAAACTTCTAGAAAATCGAATTTTTGCCTATAAAACTGTGGAACTTTCCTTCCTCCACTCTCACAAGTTTTTCCATAACAATCTCACAACTCTCTCTTCTGATCCTCTCAAATTCTTTAACAAATTAGTTTTTTAGGAAAGAGTGAATTTGTTGTAATTGTTAGATTATAAATTATCAGATGTGCTTTTGTTTAGTTGTTGTTTTTTTACTTTTTAACATTAGAATAAAAAATTTATATTAGAATAGTTGTTAACTCAAAATTGTTTTGAAATCCTAAATTGTTATAGAATTAAAAACGTAAGTTTAGTGATAAATCTTTTAATGGTAGTTAATTGAAAATTCTTAAGAAATAATTTTTTTTTAGTATTTTTTTTATTTTTCCTCGGAAATTTCTCGGAATATAATATTTTAATAATATTTTGTCATAAATTTGTCGGAAAAATTCCGGTGACTTTCCAATTTATTTTGTAGGAAAGTTCTCGGAATATTTCTGAGGAATTTCCGACAAAATATTATTAATATATTATTTTCTTGGAAATTCATCGAAAATTTTCCGAGAAATTTCCAACCACCGTTTCCGACGACTTACCGATAACCGACTTTCTCGGATATTTTCCGACAAAATTTCGACAAAATTTTATTTCCGAGGCGCATATTCCGACCAATTTTTTTTTGTCGGAAAGTCTAAGCAAATACGTGTTTCCGATGACTTTCCGACGAAAAGCTTGGTCGGAAATTCACATGTTTTCTTGTAGTGCAAGCCGAATCTAGACAATTCAAGCCACTGTCCTTCAGGCTCAACGTGACTAAAATATGGGAGGGATATGTCACCACATGAAGCATTGATTCTGCAACCCTATAAACAGTGAAATTTGAAGAGAGATCAAGCAAAAAATAAATATAAATAACAGATTTATACGTTTATATTTGATAATACTTACATTTTTCGTCGACTAAAATGAAGTTCATGCCTGGTAAGCCTTGTCGATCAGGTTTGTTCCATCTTTTCAAAACTTTGACACGGATTTTCCAATCTCGTCTCCATCCATGCAACTCATCATCAAAGTGATACGCAGCCATTGAGAAAGTGTTTTTAAAAAGGAAAAGAAAGGGTTGCAGATAAAGATTGCTTAGTTGTTAGTTTTATAGAGGAAGAATATTTGCATGCATATAAATGAGGATATATATAACATCAAGTCAACTTATACGGTTGTAGATACTTAAGGGAGAGGGTTCGGTGAATCGATGCCTTTTACATCTTTTCATAATTTATAAATGTTCAATATTTGAAAAGTTGCAACTTATGATGAAGATTGTAGAGATTTTATTGGTTATTGCGGTTTATATGTTAGTAAATGAAGTGCCGAAAGTTGTTTTAACACAAAAATATTGGGCCCATATGGTGCATATAATTTGGGTGCAACATAATTAATCGTTTATATCAAACCGATTCAGATTTTCTATTATATTAACTGGTTAAAATTATTTTATTAAATTTTTAGACCCTTATCGTAATACTTGGAATGGAATTTAAAATTGTTAAAGACTATACCTTTTACAAATTTCGCTATAACTTACTAAAATAAATTTGTTTTTGATATGCTTTTAAACGACACATCACATTTAAAATAACACAAAATTTAAAATAAAAATAGGAAAAACAAACGATATTAAATCCTTAATGAAAGAAACTATAATAAGTTTCCATTTGGAAAGAAATTTATAATATAATTCGTAAGACTTGACGGATACGCATCATATATATTTGACTAATATAAATCAAATCTATTTATAAGCTTAGTGATATGTGTCATTTTAAAAAAAAATATTTGATACGTGTTAATTAAATACATCCTTATAAAGAACATTTAATTATATATGACTGTTAAATAGTAAACCTAATTATTAATAGTCATCGTACAATGATTGGTATTTTTTAAGGTGGAATTAACTGGTGCCTTAATGATACACTTGTTCGTTATCATCTATAAAATGACAAAACGATAAAACTTTTTATTAAACAGAGAAAATAATTTTTAGCCTCAAAACTTCACAATACAACCGTCTTCTCGTTTCTCATCAACTAAAAAAATGTCTCCATGCGAACGTATCTGTGAACTGGATTTAACTTTGAAGAGTTCTTGTATATGCATTCAGGTTATCAATATTATCATCGAATACATTGGTTTCAATGCATAAAAAAATGCTTCTCTTGGCAGATGAACATGTAAGTACATAATTGCAATACCATATATTTTAATGAAACGGTTATCTAACTTTTTTATATATTTTGGTCAAAGGGTGATAGAATTGTAGCAACAATGACCGAATTTCTGAAAGGAATTTGTATTTTATTCGTAATTTTGGCGTCATACATGATCTACGTTCATCAGTTGCGGTCTTCAACAAATATCAATTGTGTTTCAACGAACATACTCGCATCCAAGAAACATCATCAGTTCTCAAAGATCATCTATATTTATTCATATCGTTCAGTGAAATATTCAACACTCCATCTACACGCTTAAGGATTGATATGTTTCGTATACAATTCGATTGTGTTGTTTTAGACTTATTTAGTATTTAGATCTAACCATAGTGATAAATTTTAATATTGTAGTTGACTTGATCGGAAGAATTATCAAAGTTCTTAAATTAAGCGAGCATGCCAGGACGAAATATGGAAGATGCCATGTTG